TTTTTTATTTGACACAATTGTTAAAAAAAAATAAAAACTGACATTTTACCTCTATTAATTGATAGAATTTCAAAATCAATTTCCTTATGGAAGAGGTTTTACCTTTTTTTCAAAAACATTAACTCTCTAAATAAATTGTGGGTATAATAGGTAAAAAATATTGTCTTTTCTTGATTTGTCAAAAATAACAAGTAAAAAGGGACAGGGGGAATAGCCGACAAATCATACGTGAAAAATAAACTACAGAATTAGACAAGTCTCGTGCATTGAGTACGACCAATGTGGGGTGTAATTTCATATAACTCTAGTATTCATTATGATTTTATGATAATTAGTTTAAGAGATTTTTTGAGATATCATAATTGCTAGAGTTAATTTTTTTGCTTATTCATATAGGGACAACCTTAATTATTGATTGAATAATGTGTGAGTGTCTTACAATTTAGGCCCATTTTGGACCAAGGATGAAACAATATTCTAAATTATTGAGATATTCTATTAATTTCTCATTGATTTTTGAAAGACAAATTCCACTAGCCAATAGACATAGCTACCACACAATTGAAGTTAGATTAAGTGTATTATTATTGGGCCAAATAGGGCCTACCCTCCATCACATTTCTTGTCAAACAAATGGGTGAGATAAGGCAGGAGAGTAGTGGATTGGTCGGTTCGGTTCGATTTGATGTATTATTAATTTTCAATTTTTGAATATATTAAATCAATAAGATATTTTTTTATCGGTTTATCGGCTTTTGTCCTTTACGGTTCGATTTTTGGTTTAACCAATAAGAAGATGCTCATACAACAAATATATGGCTTTTCTAACAATTTGGCACGACTGGACAATAATGTAACTTTGAATGATGCTCATAAAATAAAAATAGTAACAACAAACATGAAAAGAACTATACAAGTGCAACACAAACAAAAGAACTAGGACAATAATGTGAATTGAAGGCTCAAGGACAAAGATAGTAACTAGTAAGGTACTGATTTTAATATTTAATATTTATGTAGAGATAATGAGTAAATTACTACCGTCTTAATGGATTATCGATAAAACCAATGTTAAAAAACCAAAACCAAATTGATAATTTTCTTTTATAAAATCATTAAAAATATGTTAACCCAATAAGTGAATAACAATAAACCAATAGCATTTCTTTCGATTCGGTTTATTGATCGTTTTGATTTTTACACACTCCTAATTTTTTTTTTTGATATTCGGATCAACAAGTACACACTTAATTATTTCATAGAATTATTACTTATCATCAATATATGTATCGGTAACCACCAGGGGCGGACCCACATGTATAGGTAGGGGTGCACGTGCACCAGTTAACTTCGAAAATAATCATATATATATATATATATATATATATATATATATATATATATATATATATATATATATATATATATATATATATATATATATATATATATATATATATATATATATATATATATATATATATATATATATATATATATATATATATATATATATATATATATATATATATATATATATATATATATATATATATATATATATATATATATATATATATATATATATATATATATATATATATATATATATATATATATATATATATATATATATATATATATATATATATATATATATATATATATATATATATATATATATATATATATATATATATATATATATATATATATATATATATATATATATATATATATATATATATATATATATATATATATATATATATATATATATATATATATATATATATATATATATATATATATATCTTGAGAAATTGATAGAAAAAGGAATATAATAAAAAGTGCACCATTAATGAACATTGAACAACCCTTGGTCTGCTGGTAGAAGTGAGGAAATACATTCCTGCAGACCTGGGTTCTCGATCCAGGTCAAGAACATTTTTTTTTAACTCTTTTTATTACAAAGTCAAGCGTTTCGCTTCGCTTATACTTAAATATTATTGGTGCATTCAGACTCTTCAAATTTTGGGTTCGCCTCTGGTAACCACCGACACTAAGGTTGATGGAAAGAAGTTGCCTGATTTTTTTCTTTTGTTCTTTGGTGAAATTTGAATCCTAATTTTCTATAGTTTGTATATGTGAAAACAATATATTTGGGAAGGTTATGTCATTACTAGAAATAAAAGTATTTTTCGCAGCGAATTTGTGAGAAATTTGTGTTATTTTGAATCAGCTCTTTGGAAACATGCATGATAGAAAACATATTCTCACTAAAAACACTACGAAGCTTTCTAATTTTTTCGTATGAAAATACTGCTATTTTTTCCCTCACCAATTCAATTAAAATATCCATGAAAATAGCAAGTTATCAACTGAAATCACTGAAAAAATAGTAAATACTTAGTAGTACATGTTAAAAGCAAGTGAGACATTTATAAAAGAATATATTTTCAGATGTGTAAATAATTCAAACATATCAAAAAAATGTTTTTATATGGTGTCAATAGTTTATACCATACCAATCATGCTAATTTTAGAAATTAGGAAGTTCAACAAAAAAAAGAATATATCCACCACTAAAACCTAAAAGAAAATCTTCACATAGATTGTGTGATGCCCTACTTGTTGTGTGTGAATATTTCTTTTATAGACAACACATGTCTCACTTATTCTCTCAATGAAACCAAACATGTATAGACCCTTCATTCATTGCACACAAGAAAATCTTGTAGCTTAGTCATGGAATATATGAGTTATTCGGTCGTTTGGTTAGAAACAAGTTATTCCAGGATTAGTTATCCTGGAATAACTTATCCCATCACTATGGTATAAATGGTGGGATAAGTTATCACAAACATGTCAACCAAACAAGAAACAATTTTTTTTTATCCCATCACTATGTTCTTATTCCATCACTAATTATTTTTATCCCTCACACCAAACGACCCCTTAGTGTCGGAGTCAGAATTTTCACAATCTGTCAAAATATATATATATAAAGTAAATATTTGAGAGGAGCCATGATTTGATATGGAAAAGCAAGCATGCTAGTGAATTCTTATATGAAATGAAAGTAAAGGCATTGGTGTATTAATTATGTTGTGCAAATAAGTTGCCAATTGGCAAAGAAAAGATATATATCCTAATATGGCTGTATCCATAAGAGCCGGCCTATGAAAATGCTTTGTATTTATAACCACTAAAACTTACTGGTCATTCCTAGCAAACTCTCATTCATATTCACCAATTAAGTGATCGCAAATGGACAGGTTTAGAGCGGGTCAACATAAAACAGGAAATAATTCAGTTTGTTCATATTTGTAAAAGCGGGCGGCGTGATAGAATGAGTTGGGTGGTAGATATGTTGACCTAGATTTTCATGAGTAAATGATATTCTACTTTAATATTCAATATTAGAACTAATCTGATAATTAATTTATAAAGAAATAGTTTGGAATAATGGTTATCTACATTACATTCAAAGTCAAAGTACAATTCACCAAGATTTGACTTGGCCCCGACCCTACGAACCCGACCTCGGGATCGTAAGGTCAAGGTCGAGAGTCAAGTCTTTGGGTTTGGAGTAGGGTCCCAAGTTGACATCAGGACCCAGTTTGGGTCTGAATTCTCAGTCTCAGGTCGAGGGATGGGGTCGGGAGTCGAGTCCAAAGTTAAGGTCAGTTCTCATGTCGATCTCACGTCAAGGGTTAGGGTCGGGGAATGGGTTTGGGAGTCAGGTCCCGAAGTCATGGTCGATTCTCAAGTAGGTCTCGAGTGGATTACAATTTGAAGCAATAGTAGCCTTGTTTTGGTGTAACCTATAGGTCACAACTTCAAATCGTGGAATCAACCAGTAATACTTGTGTCAAGGCAAGCCACCTACAAGTACAACACATACCCTTGGAGTACGACACCTTGCGTTAATATAAAATGCTTCGTACATCAAGCAACCTTACCTTGAAACTATGCATGAGTCAAAGCAAGTAAATCATTTAAAATCACTCATTATTGTCATCATCATATGTAACCATAAACTAGTAAACAACACACATTAGTGACACCATGAAAAAATAGCAGCCACTCAGAAATATATAGTATATCAGTGCAGCCGCCTTTGACTAATCTGTAAAAAATCTTGTATAAAATTCATATAATTCACAAACAAGAAGGTTTATAAAATGCACAACACAACAAAAGTTCAGTGTCATCTACAGGAACTGACTTAAAGCAAATGCTAAAAGCCATCAAGATCAAAGAAAAAATCCAACCAAGACCACTATTAAAAGATAGGATCCAAGTCACTGATAAGCACAAAACAAAGAAAAAATAAATATCACTAATATTTTGTATTGTCACTTCTACTCTTACCTAACTAATGAGCTAATAAACAAGATAAAAAATAAATTGGTGGACATTGTCAAATATTGTCCCAACAAAAACTTGAGTATTTTGCTCGATACCTGTTGACTCGCACCAGCACAGTTCCTGAATAACTCAGCCGACCAAAGCCGAGGTTCAAATTTCAGCAAAAACAAAAACAATAAGCAATTTCTAACTTTGGAGGACAGAGTTACCAGCACTTGTGCTGGAAGGAGGTAGCGATACTCCACGAATTAATCGAGATGCGCACAACCTGTGACACAAACACCAAATATCTACAATTGTCTAACAAAGTTCATGCATATTAGCAGAATTGGAAAGTAATACAGATTATACTGCTAGAGACAAACTCAATATCTGTATCCCAACTCAACACTTCATACTAGTCCTTCAGCACTAGTATCAAGCCAAAAAAAAACTTACTTGGAACAAGAAAAACCAGCAAGTTATAGTCAACATAAGGTCATTATGTTAAACTCACTGTTTTTTTCGTCGAACAAGTTGATGTAACACAACATAGAAAACAAAGTAGCCCTCAGATTCGAGTTTCAGATTCGTCCAGCAAACAATTCTTCAGCTTCAACAATCAAACATGAAGACTGCTCAGAATATAATCATCATTCAACCATGAGAAGAGAACTCTGCATATAAGTTCCATCTTCTTTCTTTTATTCAAACAAATAGACAATACATTGCAGAATGCTTCATTACATAAAGGGGTAAAACCAAAGTAAGATGATCAAACCCCTCAAACAATTAGAACACTGTAACCTTCAAACTTCCATCTCGAGCGAACACCACCTTCTGCAACTGTTAAAACTGCTTAGCAAGTACATTTCCAGCAACTGCCACAAACATCATTCTCAAGATTCAAAAATGTATCATTTCCAATCCATGCAAATGACTAAGGTAAGTAGGAAGGATTAAAAAACAACCAAATCTTTGTTAGGAGCTCTTCTTTCTGGATTTCTATCTTAAAAGCATATAATAAAACAAACTAAGTTCAAAATTCCTAGTGGATTTTGATGGAAAACCAAAGCAAATCACTGACCATCAAGACCATTACAACAAAAACCTATAGTCTATGCTAACTATAGTAAATGAAGAAAAATATCCGAAAAGACGCTGCAGATGACTCACTACTGTTCTACTCTATATCCACAAGCTTCATGAATCAACATTCCTCCCACTCCAATCTTATGCTTTCTCATCTCCAAAACCTTCCGGTGGGAGTTGGAATGCGCAGCAGCCGAGAAAGAAGGGCTATTAGCCGGGCGATACTCTGGCAACAGCCTGCCTGACTTATAGCGCACCCCACAAGCATTACACAGTGTTTTCGGCCCCAGAGGGCCTGCCCGCCATTGTGGGGTCTTATCAGCTCCACAGTGTTGGCACCTCCTCCCAATGCTAGCAGCACTCTTAGCTGAATTCATTGGTAACGAAAGCAATGGCTCATGCTGCTTAACGTTCTTGAAACTTGGTTGTGTCACCGGCAGACAATGCTCGCTTGGCATGTTAGCAAACCCACCTCTCCGTCTTCTACGTCTTCTCTTGCTCCGTGCACGAACAGGGTAATTAACCGGAACTTTTAAGTTGACACAGCAGCTCGTATAAGCATTTCCATTAACAACACCATTGCCACTGCTGTGGCTGGTGCTGCTACTATTCTCCAGCACTGAAACCGGGCTATGGTGATCAAATACCATACCCGGGTTCTCCGAAAGAATGCCAAACTCTATCGCTGGAAATGCATCTTTGTTTGACAGCCATTCCAATTCTTCCTCTACACACTCCTACAAAAGGCAATATGTTAATAATCTCAACTAAGCCACTTATTTCAAACAACCTCTAACTCTTCTCTTTTTAATTGTTCAATTTACAAGTTTTCTTATAAGAAATATCAATTAACTGTGTTATTTAGATTATATCAAACGGTGAAAAATATCTAGGAAGGAATCTAGCTAAGTACTAGGCTTAAGCCATTGTAGACAGTACAAGAACAACAACATACAGCGCGAGATACCACAAATGGGATCTGGAGAGGGTGGAATGTATGCAGACCTTACACCTATCTTGTGTGCAACGGTAGAGCCAGAATTTCCACTAAGAGATGTCAAAATATGAAAAAGTAAAATCGCCTAGAAGTCAAGGGTGTCAATACGTATAATTTTTTTTTTTTTAACTAGCTACACACTTTAATTTTCCGACAAAAGGGGTGTTATGTGTGGCTCCGCCACGGCTTGTGTGAGGTGGATAAGTCATTTTCGATAGACACTCGACTCAACAAAAGCATAAATTGAGGAAACAAAAAGTCAATATTTCCAACTAGTACAATTCACGACTTTGACAAATTGGAGAGTAAATAAACATTGATGTTAGGGGCAAAAATGTCTTTGTACATTATGAAATGCAAGTTGAAACTGATATGGCACATTTATTTGTACAGCTCAAACATGGTGACAACCAATAAAGTCATGTTGTAGACATTCCAAAATTCCCAAAATAACCCCACATTTCATTTCTTTCAACAAAAAAATCCAAATTTTATTAATAAATTTAATTTAATTAAATTCCAAAAAAAGAAAAAACTTTTTTTCTTAATCACCAGTTCCCCACATGTCATTCATCCATGATTCTGTAGCTTTAGGGTTTCAAGGGCAAAATAGTCCAAAAAAATTAAATTCCCTCTAAACACCTCACAACTTTCACCCTGTCAATCAACTTTCTAAGTCTTCCCCCAACAACCGTTTCAAAACTGCCCACCTTTTACACCATCATTTACAAAAATACCCTCCAAACCCCCAGAAGTTTTGTTCAACTCACCGGAAAACACCGAGTGACAACATTTCCGGCCAAAAAAACTTCTGGGTAGTCTCAAAAAGGGTAAAATCGAACAAAAAAACTTAACAACCAGTGAAATTTGAGTGACTTACAGGGTGGGGAAGAAGGCTAACAAGAGGGTTTGTTGAAGACGAAGAAGAATAAGAAAGTGGGTCTTTGCTAGTAATAGTTGATTTTTCATCATCTTCTTCAACAGTTTCATCTTCCAAAGAGAAGTTGAGAAGGTCATCATCCACCATGAAACATGCAGTTGGGTCCAAATCCTCCATTTTCATTTTTTTTTTCACACACAGAGAGCAGAAGGGAGAAATTGAAAGAGGAAAAATGGAATAAGGGTTTGGTTTGATTTTGTTTAGAGAGAAGAAAAAAAATTAAAAGGAAAAAAATAAATAAATAGTGAGTGGGTGGGTGGGGTGGGTGGGGAAAAGATTGGTTCTCTTTTTATGGAGTGTTATTATTATTATAGGAGGTAAAACGCTCTCTAATAAATTAAAAAAAAAAAAGTTTGACTCCTGAGAATAAAGTTATTTTTGATAATTATATTTTAACTCTAAAACAATTCAAAAATTATCACTTAATTAAATAGAAATATTATAAAACTAAATATTTGTATAATTTAGATATTTGTAATCTTTTCTACATTTAATATTGTGAAAATATATATCTTAAAATATTGGTCAAAGTTTATAATGTTTGACTTTAAAAGGAAAATATTTTCAAATATTTTCTTTTATTTCCCTACTCTATATTTCCAATGGGAAATTATTATTTTTTCACATGGTATTTGGATTATTAATTATTATTTTTTATATAATTTAGATATTCAAAATTAATATTTGTAATCTTTTTCATATTAATACTATGAAAATATATATATTAAATATTGGTCAAAGTTTATAGTATTTTCCTTATTTTCTACTAAATTATTTTCCTTTTATTTCCCTACTCTATATTTCCAATGGGAAATTATTATTTTCACATGATATTTAGATTAAATTAATTTGTATAATTTAGATATTCAAAATCTATATTTGTAATCTTTTTTATATTAATACTAAGAAAAAAATATGTATTAAATATTGGTAAAAATTTATAGTATTTTCCTTATTTTCTACTAAATTATTTTCCTTTTATTTACCTACTCTATATTTCCAATGGGAAATTATTATTTTTTTGCATGATATTTAAATTAAATTAATTAATTAATTTTGTATAATTTAGATATTCAAAACCTATATTCGTAATCTTTTTCATATTAATACTATGAAAAAATATATATTAAATATTGGTCAAAGTTTATAGTATTTTCCTTATTTTCTACTAAATTATTTTCCTTTTATTTCCCTATTCTATATTTCCAATGGGAAATTATTATTTTTTCGCATGATATTTAAATTTAATTAATTAATTAATTTTGTATAATTTAGATATTCAAAATCTATATTTGTAATCTTTTTTATATTAATACTATGAAAAAATATATATTAAATATTGGTCAAAGTTTATAGTATTTTCCTTATTTTCTACTAAATTATTTTCCTTTTATTTACCTACTCTATATTTCCAATAGGAAATTATTGTTTTTTCACATGATATTTAGATTAAATTAATTAACAATTAAAATGATAGCATGTAATATTTAATAATAATTGATAAATATATGTATACAAGATATGTATTTTGCATTAATTACCAGTTTCAAGCATTGATTTTTAATTATTATTTTTAAGTATTCCTTGTTATAATTTAATAAAGAAAATTAAAACTGTTTTACTTTATTCTTTTGTAATTATGATTAAATTAAATTGGATTTGCCATTTTAAAAAAATTAACATGGAGAAAATAAAAATGGAAAACAATATTTATGTGATCTTGGAATTATTTGATAACTGAAAATCTATATTTTTGCAGTTACTATTATTTTGACTTTTGAATATTGAAGTAAATCTATTTTTGTTTCAAGTTTGAATATTTTATATTGAAGTAAATCTATTTTTATTTCAAATTTGAATATTTTTATTTGTCGCGATATGCACATTTATTATATATGTATATATGATAAAATATTAACTTTGCGTTATTTCCACGCAAAAGATTATTTAAATTTGAATAAATGTGAAATTATCTCAACTTGTCACGATATGCACATTTATTATAGCAGAGATATGCATCAAAAAAAATATTGACTTTATGTTATTTTCACGCAAGAGTATGCAATTTTATTCTTATTTTTATGAAGACGGAAAAATTATTTTCGATATACCTCTTCAATTCAAAAATAGATGGAAATTGCATATTGATTATTGGATATAATATGTACTACTATTGGAAAATTTATGTTCATTACGATCCTTTGAAATTCAAAACTTGAATATTATATATTACATTTAAGGAATGAAATCTTTTTTGCAAATTGTAACTGTTCTCATATTTTTATTATTCATACATAAATGTTGATAAAAATAAATAAATAATTTGAGAAGGTGTTTAGAATGTGGAAAAGACATCAATTACTTTCATATTAAGGAAAATAAAATAAAATTCCATCCTTTCGAATTCATTTACCAAGAAATAAATGTTTTATTTAGTTATACAATTAAGTTACTCTAATTTATATAATTGCTTGACTAATTTAATACTTGTTTTAGTAAAATAATTAGTATATATAAATTATTTTGTAGTCAAAATCTTATACTTCCTGATCCATTTTATGTGACACAAATTATTTAAAGTTTAAAGATTTTATTTAATAAATTGTTAATAATCATTACTTATTATACTTCTTTTGTTATTTTTAAATAAATATGCAAATTTTATTGCTAAAAAACTTGATCATTCGTCCAAATTCAACAAAGAATTAGATAGTTTCATACTCAATTGAAATGAACCTCATATTTTACGGCTTATTGAGGCTAATGCATGTTAGCTAAAACTTAAAAGAAGAGATGACAAAAATATTGCAAACATTCCGACAACAACGAATTATTAGTTTCATCCTCGAACTATTGATAGATTTAAAAATACTCTTGAGGCTAATAATGCATGTTAGCTAAAACTTCAAGAAGAGATGACAAAAATATTGAAAACATTCTGACACCAAATTATTAGTTTCATTCTTGAACTATTGATAGACTTAAAAAATACTCTTTAATTTGACTATCTAAATGTAAATACACCCCGACAAGGGCGGAGCTAGGTGGGGGTTCATAGGTTCGAACGAATCCAGTAGCTTTTCTGTAGACCCTATATTTGTATCAGAAAATTAAGTAATAACTTGTGAATCCCTGAAAAAACTAATTAATAGCTCAATGGTAAGGAAAAGGAAGAAAATTTAGAACCCCAAACTCCTAATACTGGCTCCACGTTCACACCCCGATCTTATAATATGAGTGAAATACACCTCTAAATTTTGAATCAAGCATGTTCGTTATCGATATTTTATTATGTGTTCAGATGCCCGATTATAATAATGAAAAGGCAACATTGAATAGTCCAAATGACTGCTACATGACAAGTGAAAGTACACTGAACGTTTGCATGAACATGAACAATACCTGTCTTGTTACTTGTTAGGATATAACTGCCAATAAATTTGATCACAAGGGTATTTATGTCTTTTACTAGAATGCGGGCCGCTTACGTAACGGGTCGGGCGATTGAACCGATGTGTCCTTGTTCCCATAGGCTCCAAATCACACGTCAGACAGCCAATCATAAACCGACACATATTTTTTGTTTTTATTTTAATTTATGGAAAAAAAATCTTTTGACTTTAAGACACCGCACGTGGCGGCGATAATCTTGTGATTTTTTTATTATCCATTAAATTGTAATGATTTGAGATTTTAAAAAAAAAATTATTATTATTATTTTTGAAAAATATTTTGAAATTAGTGAGTCAAAGGTTTGAAATTTAATTGGAGAAAATCTAGCAATAGTTATATAAGAATTGTGAAATTTGAAAAAAAATATATTTATTTATAAGTTGAAAATGATTATCTGAAATTTGAAATTGTGATTGGATATGAATACTGATTGATGTTATTTTTTTTTTGATATTTTAAAGTGATTTCATAAGAATATTATGTTCAAACAATTTTGTAGAAATGTATTTCGGAACAAAGTGAGAACTATTCAAAGTCAAAACTCAAAAGGGTAGTTTATAACAAAATTATAATGCATAAACTAATTACTTATATGATTAATAATAAAGTATAAAACAATTACATACTTTAAAAGAATAAAAATTATATACACCCATATGGTTAAATAGTTGAAATACTTTACAAGTTTATATTCTTTGAATTTACTATTAGTATATGTTTTTTTTTCTGATTATTATATTCTAAGTTATTACTATTATATATCTCCTTTTCTTATTGTTTTTGTTAGGCTCAAATTGAGCTAATCAAACATAACCTTTCAACTTCATAAAATATGAGTAAAACTACATACATATCACTCTCTCAACTTTCGAGACAGTATTTGTAAGAATATACTGATAACCTTTCAACTTCACAAAATATGAGTAAGACTACGTACACATTACTCTCTCGACTTTCGAGACCTCACTTGTAAGAATATACCAATGGTACGTTATTATTGTACCTTCTAATTTGTCCCTTAATAATTAATTTTCAAAAAATATACCATGTAGGGTCCACTTGCATGTTCACGTGGGACCCACCACGTTTTTTGAACCTCCGTGAGTAGTTTTGATGCCTCCAACTACTCTCCCATTTTGCATGTGACACTCACGTGTATCCTTTAGAAAAAGAGAATTGATATGTGCCTTGCATAACTTTATTCGTTATTCTATGTCGTGCGTATCGGACATCGAATGAAAAATAATAATAAAATATTTATTATTCAATAATTAAAGGTACGGAATCACATTTGTTATGGGTCACTTTAATGTAGATTTTTTTTATATGAAATTTAAATTTAATTAGATTATAATATAAATATTGAATATCAAATGAGATATTTAAAAAATAATTGTATTCATAATTTAATATTTAAATAAAAACAAGTACTTGAAGAAAATCACTAGTGCTTAGTGACCCTCAACTCAATTATTGATTAGTCAAGGGTTATATATATTAGGATCTTAATTTTTATTTTTTCTTGTTTACAAAAGTCAATCGAATTTATGTATTAATAATTAGACATTTAACTTTTAGTTTGTTATAGTTATAAAATAATGTTAAGTTAGCCGGCAAGTAAAGTGCTATTCATCCGGTTCGATTTGATTTATCGATTATCGCGATAAGCAAAATGCTAATTTTTTTTTGATTAGCAAGTTTTTGATGTATAATCGCACGTGATATTTTAGATAAAAAAACTTATCAAATTGAAAGAGGAAAGTGATAAATTTATATGTCATACAAAAAT